AAAGTATTTTCGATGTATACATAAGCAAAATTATGCTTTCATTTTCTTTATTAAACAACGTCGATACATTACATTATCAACGTATTACATTTGTCTTTACAATATACATCGCATTAATACAACAAACATACGTAAGTCTTTTGATATTGCAGTATCTCTCGTAAGCCCTTTTAGTCTATCAGTGTTCAGAAGATTTTTCTATCCTTAAATGATACCAGTAATTAAGTATAGTTTATGTGAGTTTTAGATTGTGTCTAAACGTAAGAAAAGAAGAAAATGAAAGTGAATATTGGCAAATTTTGCCAATATTATGAAAATAGTGATGAAGTTAGTGACTTTTTTCTTGTTAACACAGACCGTTTGCGACTATTCATGAATTTAATGAAAAGGATAGCAATTAATATGCTACTGTAATCTGTTCTGATTATTCGATAGTTATAAGAAAACCTTGGTGATTTCAACCGGTGCTCTATGATTCGAAGAGACATTAGAGCTATTTGTTGTGCATAGGTAACTATTAGAATGCCTTGAAAAATTGTGAAGACAAGCTGATTAGCAACACCTCAACAATACTCTTCACAACTCTAAACGATCGAAGTGATTTGCGCCTTGAAGCCTTATGTATTTGTTATAAAGATACTGTTGTGATCCCACTAAGGGATGCTTCCCATGTCAAATCTTCGTATCTCGGCAGTTTTTAAAAGCATAATAAAAGCCATGTATGTTCAAAGAGAGACAACACTGTCTTTTGAAACGATAGAAGAAATAGATAAAAATTGGCTAGATATTCTAACAATTTTCCAATAGAACTGATGTTGAAAGCGTATTTCTCCCACTTCTTTCATATAGTTATATCTATGTTCTAAGGAAATCTATACACAGATGGGACAGGGTCTTAAACTGGGATATGTCAATAAATTGTTTTTTATTATTATTATTATAAAAAACGAGTAGCTGTCTAATTCGAGTTCGAATATAAATGAAAAAAACGGCTTCCATGTTCTGACAGGCAAAAAGCAAAAGCAAAATTTTATCCAACGATACACACCCGTTTAAGAAGCAAAAAAAAATAATTTTGTATAAATTATAAATTTATAAATTTATAAATGCAAAGGCACACCCATGTTGAAATAGCAAAAAAGCAAAAGAAATAATTTGTGTACGTCCTCTGATAGTACCAATGGGAAAGTCTCTAATCTATGTTGGTACAGAAGCAGCTTCTCGGCGCTCTTCGAGTGGTTCTTTGGTCCACCACGCGCCGAGGCTTAAATGAAGGTGTACGTGTGCCCTTTGACAGAGCTGATAATGCATAGACATGTTTCTTGTATGAATACTGCACCAGAGCCTCTAAAATGTTCCATAGATAGTCTGTGACAGTTAGGTCAGTTTTTGCATGATGCATAAGTTGAAAATGGTTGGTTGTCTTCTCAGTGTACTATTTAGTAACTGTCGAAGTAATTTCTGCTGATCTTGCTAGCTGTTGTTTCCAATTGAGGAGAATTTTGCCGGATGTTTTCTTCTGATGTAAGGCAAGTGCCGGATACATGTACTGAATCGAAGCTCTTAGAATAGTGGGGTTTCACTCATTTCTGCACCTACGAATACTGTTTCTCTGCTAGCTATCGAACTCTGAATGCGCATCGGTGATTTGCAATCGTAAGCTATAGGATATGAGATGGTTGGGTTGTAAAATAAAAGACAATATTCCGGCGGTCACCATAGACAAGATTTTTTATTAGATCACGGATATCGAACTTCAATCGTAAATTGGAACTTCACATCTCACTGGCGATATTAAACCTATTTAGTTTCCACTGAGAGGAATCCTTCCTTCATTTTCATCTATCCAAATATCAGCCTAGCAATAAAGTTAGTTAGATGTGGCAAATTTTGTTTTAATGCGTTCTTCGCTCATACGTGATTAAATTATGCAAAATAAATACTTTCCTTTTCTACTGTTACACGATGCGTATGCCTTTTTATATATAAATTTATAATTCAGATAAAATGATTTCTGTTGCTTTTTAGCTATTTCAACATGGGTGTGCCTTTTTTCATTTATAAATTTATAATTTATATAAAATTATTTCTTTTGCTTTTTTGCTATTTCAACATGAGTGTGCCTTTTCATTTATAAATTTATAATTTATATAAAATTATTTCTTTTGCTTTTTTGCTATTTCAACAGGGAAGGCGTTTTTTTCATTTATTTTCGAAGTAACCATAAACAGTGACGTCTCCATTTATATTCGCATTCGAATTAGGCAACTCATGTAAAACACCAATTTTTTAACCTTGTGTATGTTTGGAGGATCTCCAACTTGTGAAATTTCCAGTTGCGATAACTCGAAGTAAGTAATAAAAATTTGACGTATAAAAATGATGTCACATCTTTTATGTTAAATAACAATAAACAAACTGTTTGGATAAGTGCACTTATGTAAAACGAACGACTAATGGTTCATATTGCAACCATTCTGCAGATTTCGCTCATGAAAAATAAGTTTAAAAGCTAGATTTTTTTGTGAATGCTCACTAATATTTCCTTAATAAGAAATTTTAATAAAACTCTGATTTTTCAGTTACAGAATGAAATTGAAGAAATCAAAAATAGTTCACAATGATGCTGTGGTTTAGAAATTGCCATTGAGAATTCTCGTGCTACAGGTCAAATAGTTTGTCAAATTAAGTCGAATTTGAGATTAGATGCAGTCTAAATGAAAAAAGGATGGCGTTATGGAGAAATAGAATGAAACATAACAGTGACTAGCCATGAGTAGTGTCTCGAAAGGTTTCCGACGAACGACTAGCCGGTACACTAAAAAATCTCTTGAAGACACACTTCAGGCTGTTTGTATTCATCAAACAAAAATCAACAGTCTAGACCTAATGGGTTTGAATAAGGACTAGCAGTTGGTAAGAACTGACAAATATGTTGAAATAAAGTGTGACAACACTTTTTATGTAGGTGCACAACGTTTTAATACTACATTTGGCGGAAAACATCAGTCACAGGTTTTATATTCATGATATCAGAAGCAGATATAAATGAAATAAACGGGAATTTTTCTGCTGGTATGTGTTCTTGTCTGTACTCATACAAATGTTGAAATGTATACAGATATATTCAAATTACCTATCTAATCTGATGGTTACTTTGAGTAGGAGCTTCTTTCAAGTATGGCAGTTCGATTGAAGACTAGATCTAGTATGATTAATTTTAAGCTAGAAGTTCAATTGAACCCGTATTTTTGTAGCGCATACCCCAGTAAAAAATATTATCGGCAAATGTTTTGGTAACCCAATAGTTTTCTAGTAGAAATTTCAAGCAGTATGGCGCTGTTTCACAATAGCGTCGTGAATGCATTTTGCTTCGTGACCTCTCAGAAAATTGAATATAATCTTTTTTTTTGGGTGCATGTGGATATTGCTGCCATAATGTAGTTCCTTAGACTATTGTTGAGTATAAATATGGGGATATCGATTTGATTCGATATACTTGTGGCAAAAATGTTCATTCGGATCCCCATACCATTATGCACAACAAGATTGACGCTAATATCAATACATACATCCATCCATTCTTTTGACACGTTGGATACTAGCTGTTTTGAATACTGTAGCACAATATAAAATACCAAAGGACCGAATATACAGTCGAGGGTCCAGCGAGTCACATAAACGAGCGTTACTTGTTTCTATCAAAAGTTCTTCTAAAAATATTCCTCTGCTATTTTCTCCTCACTGTTATCGTTACATATTGTAGCTGAACGATTCTAATGAAAATTTTATTATTACAATATTGGATGAATAATGATCAAATAGTGTAGAAATGTAGAGCTTTGTTTTGACTATCAGTCTATATAAAAAGAAAATTTTCTCAAGCCGTCTATACGAAATTGCGATGAAACCACCACTACTTTTGGTATGCCCTAACTAGAATAAGGTCTTAGATAGTCAGCAAATCTGCAGCTTGAATCCTATCATAATCACGACTATCTTAGTCCAATCACTAGAGTTATGTATAGTTGATTGAATGAAATGAAGAACCTTTCCGAGTATTCGATCGATAATGATTCAATTGACAAAATACCTTATAGAAATAATTAAATACTTTCAAAAAAAAAAATTTAAATTCATTGGTAAACACGTCTAAATCATACTCAACAATAGAATGCATCATTTAATGAATAAAGTATATTTTCACTGACTAAAAAGATTTCGAAACCAAAGCTATCAACAAACAAGACATATCAATAAGGAAAACGTTACCAATGGAATGTTTACAAATGTTTAAACTAACGAGTTGAAAGCAAAAACATGTACTAACAAATAGAGTTCAGTACATTGAATCAACTTGACACAAAAAAAGAACTTTTGTGAAAGCATACCTCATTGAGTACTGGCTCACACTGTGTTCTATGTTCATGTTTCTAATACCTATCTATATTTTGCTTTTGGATAAGATGGAAACTTTTTGAAGCGTTGTCTTTGTTTGACATAGCCTGATTATTTTGGTGTTCATTAAGAGACTATCCATACCCAAGAAAGAAGCAATTTTTTCAAAAAAACGAATATGTAACTATTTGATGTTCTAAATTATGATCACTAATGTAATTAATTCTGTTATTTTAGATATTTTCTAATTTCTCAAGACTTTGCAACTTTTCAGCATAGAAAGGACATTATCGATAACTCAAAAGGTAATTTATAGAAAAGTATTCTAGTGAACAATGAATACTTACTGAAAACTAACTTTTACTAAATACTATTTTTTTTTACTATAGATGAATAAAAATTCTATGGATAATAATGCTATCTCAGTTGACAATTCATTTGCTGCACAACATCCTCATGTTGACAATGAGCAACGTGAAAACTCAACGCAAAATGAATTTAATTCAGCAGAATGTGCCACTGCCACTGATACAACAAAGAAGTCATCAATCACTTCGATACCTTTGTATATAATTTTCTTTTGTGTTCAATCATAATAATATATAGAATGTCTTTATTAGAGAATTTCCGCACTGGTCGCGACATCGATCTTCAATTGGTGCAGGTGCATTTGCTGTATTCACAATTATAGCAATGAGTATTGGTATATTGACTGTTTGTTTCACTTCACCAAAAGCTACTGGTATGTTCTTTTTTATTAATATGTTAGCCACTTTCTATAGATAAAATAAGATTACATGGAGAATCTATAATCAAAATCTCAAAATAACATGTACGAGCCTTTCTGATGGAATACGTCGATCGAAGTCATAGTTTTGTAATTGTAAGAAATAAAAAGTTGAACTAAATAATTGCGCATGTATCACACAAAAATTATCGATCACCATTCGTTGTTCTTATCATCGAACCATTAACGTCTGCATTTACAACGAAGGCCATCATTTAGTGCGTCATCTATCTCTTCCTCTTCGCTCGTATATTGTGCTGTTCATGTATGATTACTCAGCAAGTAGATTCACATCCATTTCTCGATCCTCATATTTTTGTCTATTTTTATATTCTATTTGTTAATATAATTATTAATTCAAAATACTAATAGAACCTCTGAAAGTATTACCTAACACAATAATTTTGATAACCGTTTGAGCGTGTAAAAATATAAAACTTTCATCTTTTATATCAAACTTTAAGCAAAGTAAATGCTAGAAAAAGAGATTATAAAATGTGAAAGCGATTACATTTAATCATGCAGTTTGGCGCACTCTTATACTCTTCAGTCATATTGTATTAGTTGATTTTCGTCGCTATTCTCAAAGATTACGCACTTTTTGAACGGATTCTAGAGTAAACCAAAGAAAGGAAATAGACAATTAACTTGCATGATATAGTCGCATATATCTAGCTCTATCTGAATTTCAAGAAACTAAGTAGGATTCTAATGAAAGATGATTGATTTTGAGTTGCGTACAAATACAGTAATACGACAATTTCTGACAGCATACTATAAAACTTGTAAGGATCCAATACAATCAAACAGTGATAGTCGCACTTGAGCAACCAATCAGTCATCACACTGCTTTTCATCTGTTGTTTAGTTCAAAAATGTGAGCTCAAATTCAAACCAACGACTCAAAAACCAGTTGAATACAAGTATGGCCCACGATCTGTTGCCGCTGGTGATTTCGACAATGACACATGTTTGGATATGGTTATTGCTCATCATATAGCTAACACGATAACTGTTTATCTTGGATATGGTAATGGCACTTTTAAAAGTCCAATTACATATTCAACTGGTTCCTACTCAAGTCCTTACATGGTCACAGTTGGTTATTTCAACAACGATTCTTACTTGGATATTGCAGTAGCAAATTTTGGCACTAACAATATCGTTATCTTTCATGGATTTGGCGATGGGTCTTTTGCAAATCAAACAGAACTTTCAACAGGCTCCTCTCGTCCAATAGCGATTATCGGTGCTCGTTTCAACAATGACTCACTACTTGATATTGCCATAGCCAATTACGGAAACCACAGTATCAGTATACTCTATCAATATGGAAATGGAAGTTTTTCGCTTCCAATTACATATCCGACAGGTTACGATTCTTTTCCGTCCTCATTAACTGCTGGAGATTTCAATAATGACAACTATTTAGACCTCGCCATTGCCAATTACGGTACTAATAATGTTTTGATACTTTTTGGAAATAGCAACAGCACTTTTGCAAAGCAAATTACCGTCTCAACTGGCATTGATTCTCAACCATACTCTATTGCCGTTGGTGATTTCAACGCAGACAACTTTCTCGATATCGCTATCGCTGATTCTGGAAGTCATGAAGTAGGTGTGCTCCTAAATAATGGTAATGAAACTTTCGCTAATCAAGTCAACTATTCCATCAATTCTGCTTCTCCAATTGCCATTTCGGTAGGAGACTTCAATCAAGATAATCGATTGGACATAATCACCACGAATCAAGGCGCTGACAACATAGCCATACTTCTTGGATATGGGAACGGCAAATTTGCAAATTCAATTATGTATTCAACCGGATCTTCTTCTTCGATTTCAGTTGCTGTAGGTAATTTCAACAAGGATCACCGATTAGATATTGTCGTTGTAAACAATGATACTGGTGTCATTGATATTCTTGTTGGACGTTACGAAGGCTTGCAAAAACAAATAAGATATTCAGCTGGCTCTTTTCCACAATATGTATCTATTGGTGATGTTAACAACGACACTCGACTAGATATCGTTGTTGCCAATTCGGGTAGCGATGATGTGAGTATCCTTCTTGGATATGGGAATGGTTCTTTTGAAACTCAAACAAGGTATTCAGTTGGCTTTTGGCCACAATCTGTAGCTATTGGTAATGTCAACAATGATACTCGACTAGATATCGTTGTTGCCAATTCGTGGAGCGATGATGTGAGTGTTCTTCTTGGATATGGAAATGGTTCTTTTGAAAATCAAACAAAGTATTTAGTTGGCTCTTCTCCATCGTCTGTATCTATTGTTGATGTCAACAATGACACTCGACTAGATATCGTTGTCACCAATGCGAATAGCAATGATGTAAGTGTCCTTCTTGGATATGGAAACGGTTCTTTTGAAAATCAAAAAAGTTATATAGTTGGCTCTAGTCCATCATCTGTATCTATTGGTGATGTTAACAACGACACTCGACTAGATATCGTTGTCGCCAATTGGTTGAGCAATGATGTGAGTATCCTTCTTGGATATGGAAATGGTTCTTTTGAAAATCAAACAAAGTATTCAGTTGGCTCTGGCCCACAATATGTATCTATTGGTGATGTCAATAATGATACTCGACTAGATATTGTTGTTGCCAATGTGAATAGTTATGATGTGAGTGTTCTTCTTGGATATGGAAACGGTTCTTTCGAAAATCAAACAAGGTATTCAGTTGGCTCTTATCCATCATCTGTAGCTATTGATGATGTCAACAATGACACTCAACTAGATATCGTTGTCGCCAATCGGTGGAGCAACGATGTGGGTGTCCTTCTTGGATATGGAAACGGTTCTTTTCAAAATCAAACAAGGTATTCAGTTGGCTCTTCCCCATCATCTGTAGCTATTGGTGATGTTAACAACGACACTCGACTAGATATCGTTGTTGCCAATTCGAATAGTGATGATGTGAGTGTCCTGCTGCAATATAACAGAGGAGCGATTACATATGAAATGAGCTTGGCACCTGGTGGTGGTTCTAGCCTACGATGTGTAGTCATTGGTGATTTGAACAATGACACTAATCTGGATATCGTCTTAGCTAATTATGGCACTAATAATATAGGTGTTATTTTTGGATATGGGAATGGTAGTTTCGAAAATCAAATGATGCTCAGCACTGGCATGAATTCTCATCCGATTTCTATCGCAGTTGGGGACTTCAATGGTGACCGTGAAGTAGATATTGCTGTGGCCAATCATGGTACAAAGCATGTAGATGTGATGCTTGGAAATGGACAGGGAAAATTTGCAACTCAAATAAGTTATGAAATTGGCTTTGATACACCTCCGTTAGTTATGGCTTCTGGTGATTTTAATAATGACGCACGATCGGAGATCGCTGTCGCTTACGATGGACGTGATCATGTGGATATTTTTGTTGCGTATAATCATGGTTCTTTTGAAACTCAAACAAGGTATTCAGTTGGCTCTTATCCAATATCTGTAGCTATTGGTGATGTCAACAACGACACTCGACTAGATATCATTGTCGCCAATTGGGGTAGCAATGATGTGAGTATCCTTCTTGCATATGGAAATGGTTCTTTTGAAAATCAAACAAAGTATTTAGTTGGCTCTTCTCCATCATCTGTATCTATTTGTGATGTCAACAATGACACTCAACTAGATATTGTTGTCACCAATGCGAATAGCAATGATGTAAGTGTCCTTCTTGGATATGGGAACGGTTCTTTTGAAAATCAAACAAAGTATTTAGTTGGCTCTCGGCCATATTCTGTAGCTATTGGTGATGTCAACAATGACACTCGACTAGATATCGTTGTCACCAACGTAGATAGCAATGATGTAAGTGTCCTTCTCGGATATGGAAACGGTTCTTTTGAAAATCAAACAAAGTATTCAGTTGGCTCTAATCCAATATCTGTATCTATTGGTGATGTCAACAACGACACTCGACTAGATATCGTTGCTGCCAATCCGTGGAGCGATGATGTGAGTGTCCTTCTTGGATATGGAAATGGTTCTTTTGAAACTCAAACAAGGTATTCAGTTGGCTCTTCTCCATTCTCTGTAGCTATTGGTAATGTCAACAATGACACTCGACTAGATATCGTTGTCGCCAATTTCATTAGCAAGGATGTGAGTGTCCTTCTTGGATATGGAAACGGTTCTTTTGAAAATCAAACAAAGTATTCAGTTGGCTCTCGGCCATTATCTGTATCTATTGGTGATGTCAACAATGATACTCAACTAGATATCGTTGTTGCCAATTCGGATAGCAATGATGTGAGTATCCTTCTTGGATATGGGAACGGTTCTTTTGAAAATCAAACAAGGTATTCAGCTGGCTCTAATCCACAATCTATATCTATTGGTGATATTAACAACGACACTCGACTAGATATCGTTGTCGCTAATGCGGCTAGCAATGATGTAAGTGTCCTTGTTGGCTATGACAATATAGTTTTTGTAAAGCAAATGATACTAGTAACTGGAAACGGTTCCCAACCACAGTGGTTAGTGATTAGCGATTTTAATAATGATGATCTAATGGATATTGGCGTCATTAATTCACGCACCCACAATATTGATATTTTTCTTGGATATGGAAATATCTCTTTTGTAAATCAAATGACATATTCAACGCATCCATATTTATCTCCATGCTCTATGGCTGTCGGTGATTTCAACAATGATAGTCGAGTGGATATCGTCTTTGTTAGTTGTAAGTCGAACAGTATTGGTATTATTCTTGGATATGGAAATGGTTCTTTTGGAAATCAAATGATGTATTCAACAAGCTCAGGTTCGTCTCGATACTCTTTAGCTGTAAATGACATTAATAACGACGCTATACAAGACATTGTCGTCGCGAATTATGATGTCAATTATCTAGGTTTACTTGTTGGGCATGGAGATGGCACTTTCGAAAGCATTATGCTAGTTCAGTTGGACTATGGTTCCAATCCATTCTCGATTGCCATTGGAGATTTCAACAATGATAAAAAACTAGATTTTGTCGTCGCCAATAATGGTACTGACAGTTTAAATATTCTCTTGCAGACTTGTTAATAATTTTATCTTGTACTTTATATTTTTCTATCACTTACTTATTTCGTATGCTCTTATATTTAATAGAATCATAGTTGAAATATTCAAATGTTTCTAAGTGTGAAAGATGAGTGGGGAAAGCTTGAGTTTGGTTGTGGATCCCTGATGATGTAAGCCTTAGTATGGTTGAGAGTATGAATGATTATCTGCCAGTATTGATCTGACTGTAATAGAAAAGCATTTAGATCCATACTTACATCCCACAAAAACGTTTTTTTTTTGTATCAATGACAAGTGCCATGATGAAATCTATCGCAACGAGGAAATTGATTACTACATCGAATATTCAAGTTTATCGAGCTTTTTAAGAACCATTGTCTCGTGAAATGCAATCGTATTGTATATACTTAGAGATCAACTCTTGCTTCATAGTAATCTAGCTCAGTGTAACTCTATGAATATCATCAAATCACTATTATCTATTACATTCCTTGCTTATTAATGATGATTATCAATACCATAATGTCAATATGTGCAAGAGAAACGATAGTTTCTTGGGTGTAGGAAATTAAAAGTTCAACCTGCAGTTATGTTCATTGAAGGATGTTTGTGTGGATGCCGAATGGTGGATGAGATTCTTCACCACACCCGCAAATCCACGCACAATTGAACATCGATCAATTTTAATGATGATCACGTTGTTCTGTTGAATAATATAGGTAAACTACTCTA